TGTCGAGGCCATATCGTAAAATACTCACTAAGTAAACTAAACTAGGGGACCGAAAATAAAAAGGATCGCTGATTCCATTAATGGTAACATTAAAATCAGGCAATGTGCACACCCGTCAATGTAGCCAAATTCGAACGCCAAAGCTGTTTGGGAAATGTGACATTCATGCATAACATATGTGGTACGCAAAATAAACATTAAAAAGTTGTATAAAATATTTATACCCCCCCCCAGCCGCACCTTGTCAACGTAAAACAAATGACCATCTTACTATTACGTAAAACAAATGACCATCTTACGATTACGTAAAACAAATGACCATCTTACGATTACGTAAAACAAATGACCATCTTACTATTACGTAAAACAAAGGGCCATCTAACTATTACGTATTATGTACCCGCTGAGGATTTGTATGACAGATTTGATTGGGGGGGGGGGGTCAATAGACTGCACCTACATTTAAGCATACAATAATTATCCTGACAGTCTCTTATGGAGCCAACTGTCATCTAAAAATCTGTGAAATCCGTGAATTTTAATTAGGCCTTTTATTATTAATATTATCAAGGCTATAAGAAATATTACAATATTTCGCAGTAAGCATACAGGCCTACTCATATATGCTACTAATGCTTTGTGTTTTCATAAGAGATCCCTGTAGTTGTAAAATTGAACATGACATATTGATAACACACCATAGTCCAGTAATTCGTCTTTCCGTGCTGGTGAGGTAATTATTTCCACCGGGCAGAACTCCCCCCCCCCCCTTCATTACTGGAGGAAAAAATTGAGCCGTCGTTTGATTTTTTTTTTCCGTTTAAAAAGGGGTGGGGGGCAGTAATAGTAGTGATACCAAACTGTGGTATTACGATCGCTGAGGGTAAAGAGCTGCTTTGCCAGTTCTACCAATATTTTGTAAATGCCGCTGACTAGCTCTTATAAAATACGTCCACATCCAACGTTCCAGTGCAGTAACAGTGGGATCATGTATTTTATTTTAAAACCATATCGTCTCTAGTTTTCCCCGTTTTCACAATCGCCGCGGTTCAAGGGAACAAAACTACGTCACACGCTGGGTAGCAGTCAAAGGGGATGGCAGTGAATAGTATAAATATTACCGGTGACGCAGCTAACTAGGTCAGTGTGACACACAAAGCAACACTATGACAATCATCGCCATCAAGACGATACTTTGCGGTGATATTTTTATAACCTTTGACACTCCGACCAACCCCCCACCCATGTGTCCCGTATGCCGCAGCTCTCCTTCATTAACAACCCCCACCTCCCCTTTCAGTGCGCACATAATATAATGAAGGATGGCCCCAACTTTAAAAAAAATTACAACCAATCGTTATTCTCGTTTCATTCACTGCCAGATTTTTATTGGAAAAGGCTAAAACTTCAACAAACGAATTTTAATCGGAAAATTTTTTTTTTCACCGGCTCTCTGAAAATCGTAGTTTTGGCGGGTCTCGGCGTACAATCGTAAAAGACATCTCAAAATCGTACATTGTACGCCAAAATCGTAAGAGTAAACAGGTCTGCACTTATTTAGTTCCTTACTCATAGCTTTGGCAATTAATGTAAAGATTAAGGGTAATTCTATCTCTCCTTTCTATAACTTACCTAGTTCTCTCATCACCCTCAATCCCTCCTGATAGTTAGGTCCTGCTCGCCTAACATAGATGCTCACATTGCCCTCAGCTAGCTTTTGCTGATATTCCTCAAGGGCTCTTACGATGCCCTAGAATTTAAATTATTAACATGAAAATACCAAATAGATGCATGCTATGCCCAAAAAATGATTGGCAAATTTAATTACAATTTTTTTTAAGTTCTTAAAAACCCTACTTTTTCAAGATGGGGTCAAATATTTCAAATTTCACAGAATCTGACACATAAAAAAAAACTTTTTGAATACAAAACTCATTGAATTTACCTTAAAGGTTGCAGCTACATTTGTGAAATTGGCAATGCCACCACCAATTATGAGTATTTTGCCTGCAGATTAAAAAATTTATATATATATATAATTACAGTGGAACCTCTCGTAATCAGCACCTCTCATAATGAGTAATTTGCATAATGAGCACACAAAAAAATGTGAAGAAGTTGCTCCCTTAACTAGCAACATTTCACATAACAAATTACTCAGAAAGGGGAAGTCCCCTTTTCCCTCACTTCTGCTTGGAAAAAACTTTTGGCCAGAGAGTGTTGTTGAATGAGATTTTGATACAGTACCTGTGGAGCTAACAGTTAACGAGATTGTGTCATTTGCCAATATCATGGGACTCGAGGTGGACAACAACGATATTGAAGAGCTTGTCAAAGAGCACAGTCAAGAGTTGACCACTGAAGAGCTTATGGAGTTGCATCGTGTTTCACAGCAAGAAATTAGGGAGGAGAGCTCATTAATGAAGGAGTAATTAGTAGAGCAACAATCTTCTAGCACAATAAGAGAAATGCTGAAAGCATGGGAAACTGTTGCATCGTACATTGAGAAGCATCACCCTAATAAGGAGGTGGCTATTCGTGCTACAAATTTATTCAGTGATAATGCTGTGACAGATTTTCGTCAAATTTTGAAGCGTCGGCAAAAACAAATGTCTTTAGACAGTTTTCTAGTTAAAAAGGATTAATTATTTGTCATAAATTCATATTTTTATTTACGTTTTTAGTTACAAATCTAAATTGTATTCCAAGTTGTTACAGTCCTTAACAATTCAAAAGTAATTTTATTTGAATATATGTTAATAAAAATCTTTGAAAAATTAGTATTTTTTCAGCATGGAATGCATTATCGTATTTTACGTTGATTTGTAAGGGAAAAATTTGTTTCGTTTAGCGAGTGTTTCGCTTAATGAGTAAGATTCTGGAACGAATTATGCTCGTTATGAGAGGTTCCACTGTATTTTCAATGAATTTAATATCAAGTGTTAACTACTTAGTAGCCGATATAAAAATAATGTAAAAAGTTTAACTTGAACTTGGTTTAGCAATTAGTGAAAGTAGAGGAGTGATTCTATGGCATTTGATGCAGAGCCTGGTTTGCCCTTGCAGGCCAAGCAATTTTAGTAAACAGTCAGATAGAAAGGAAATTTGACATATCATAAGATTTTCACTAGACCTGCTCTAGCGTGAAGAGTTTATTCTTTAAACATCTTTAATCTGAAAGATTATCTATTCAGATAGGTTTGCTATCTGTGGCTGTGTTAGTACAACTTATATGTGCTCTCAGCTCTGAAACAAAGTCAGCTACAGTTATTATTTCCACTCAATTAGGTAAGCTTCCTTCTCATCTGGACAACCAGTATAAAATATTTCATAGTTTTAAACAAAATTGTGTTTATTTTATAAATACATCTTAAAGACTTTTTATTAGTAGTCTTATGTATTTTGTCTGACATATTTTGGGTATTAATATTTAAGTCTAGGAAGCCATTTGAAGGAAAATTTAACTCACATTTGTATAATCTTAACATAGTGCTAAAATTAAGGTTATTTAATGGGGCGTGGAAAAAAGTTAACATCCGTGGAAAAAAGTATTACCTTCAGGGTGAGATTCTTCTACCATAAGGGCAAGAACAGTTTTTGCATACTCATAGGTTTGTTGTTCACTTGGTGCTCCTGAGTACTCTCCATAGTTTGCCAGTTCAGAGGCTCCTCCTAGGTCACAAATGGTGTCTCTATAAATATGGAAAATTATGAACTATTTTATTATTCAACACATCAAATGAAAGACACCTAACAATATAATCATTTTTTGTTTAAATCAAGCAATACTGGTGTTCTTTTTAAACATTCCACTTTTTGATTTTGCAATTGTCCAACTTTGATGTTTGGGGATTTTTATTCAGGGTTTATCTCCTCAACAACTACTGCTTTCTTTTTTTTACTAATTAGTCCATTCCATCGAGCTATTTACTCACAATTGGGGACAACAATAGATCTATTATAACCAGGTATCCTCTTTTTTGCGACGCAGACATCCACCTTGTGCAACAAATATGGTTCAATAACCAATTTTAAATTTGAGATTTTAAGTAATTAAATGTATTTTAATCATGTTGTGTGTACGAGTTTAACTCACGCGTATATAACAGAAGCTCCACCCCCAGCCACCATGGTCCATATGCGACCTTTTCTGTTGAGTATTGTAAGTTTAAGACTGGCACCACTCTTCGCATCAAGATCAGCAATGTAGGCTTCCTAAGATAATTATAGATATTAAGCCATGAAGTATCATAATTTAATTACTGGCTTGGATTCACATGCCTTTGAACAATAAAACATACCATGTTATTTGATGTATAAAATAATTAAGATGAACATTTTATACTTCAATAAGTTAAATTTTTGCCAGTTTTCCTTCAGGTTTACCTCTGGTAAAGCATCCCTGCCAAATGGTGGTGGGAATTCAATGTTGCCCCACTTTGCCTTGCAAAGAAACTCAGCACATTGGTCAATTTTAGCAGCAAGATCAAGAATGAAGATTTGTGTTCCTTTGACCACTGAAAAATAAATGATATGGAAACTTAAACTTGGACCAGACCTGATAGTGTGATCAATAATGAAAATTTTTCTGCTCGCAATATCTAACACACCCCAGCCACCTTTTTTAACAACTTTAAAAAATAATAATATTTTTAATTAAATAAATATCTGAATTAAATTTGCAACAGTTGATTGCTAAGGGCAGTAACTGCACATTATTAAGTACCAACTTACCTAATGGGTTGATCTCAAGGTAAGTGAAATGCAGATCTTGGTAAACTTTATAAAGGGTAACAATGAAATCTGTCAGAGGCCTGTTTTAAGTTTTTCAAAAAGTGGGCATGTTATTTACCTCAAAAAAAAGTATAAAGTATGAATTACTCAGGAGATTAATAATTTTAAATTATATTTAACATTTCGGCTATTTTTTAAAATATATTTTCTACTAAACATGCTTTTTGTACATGAATTTAATGAATTTACTCAGCCTTTTCTGGACCAAGAGTCTATGAGACAGGAGAAGGGTTAGCAAAGAGCTGGCGCCATATCCCTTTAAAAAAACCTTGCCACAGAAACACCCACAAATTGAATCAAAAGAAAATAAAGCCACTAGAAAAGATGGATCACCCAATGTCAAAATTAGACTATTAAAAAACACCAGGCCATAGCAACCCTTTCCACCAGGACCATGCTAACATGACCTGGAGGCAGACTTCAAGGAGATGGATGAAACAAGGAACATTCAGAGGAACTTCATCATGAAGCTGATGCAGGGAAATTATCTAGTTAGCACCCAAAGAACAAGAAAGGGGCAAGGCAAACATGACACGTTACATTTCTTTATATTATTATTAGTCACAGGTAGACAAGGCTCAAAATTCAGTGGCCAGCCCCATTTTATCAGGAGTTGGTATTTTATAGAGGGTAATAAATCAGCTATGAAAAATGAACATTGTTCCATAGGAACCAAACATCCTGATTATAGTAAACTTTCTTATTTTAATACATTCAACCAAATGAAGAGAGAATTTATTTATTTTTTAGCAAAAGATGAAATTCTCTTTTACTTTGGTTTATTCTAAGATATAAGTGTTCAGCACAAATTTCTCAATCATCATAACTCATCTCAAAAAAGGTATCTTACATTTAAGTAAATAATTAGTTTGTTGGTGTTAATTTAAAACTAACTAAATTAAAGTCTTAGTCTTACTGTTTCGCTGTATCTGGAACATGAGGCAACAGTTTATTAGTAACTTCAACTGGTGATAAAATCCCACCAACAGGGACATCAAGAGACAATGCCTAAAATGAAATTTCATTATTCAATGTATTTATTGTTTTAAAAAATAAAGCTTATGTGCAAATACAAAATATTTTTTTTTACATTGATAATATGCAATTGAATAAGTATAATATTCACCTTTGAATCAACATCTCCAATGTCTATACCTCCTTCATGGTGAAATAAAATGGTGTCAGCATAACGATGAGAATGAATACACACATAGAACTCCTCTTTCTGTAATATGTAAACATACAATTTATGTGGTTTTAATCATTAAATAAAATTTTTTAAAAACATGATTTTTTAAAATGTTTTCATGTATTAAACAATCCATCAATACATTCAATTAAAAATAATATAATTGATTTTTATATATTATAAAATTATGAAAACTGATGCTCCTTGGGAACAAAGTACAGTGTAAAACATGTAAGTATATTACTTTAACATTTAAGAAGAAAATCAATCACACAATTTTCTTTTAAGCTTATTTCAGGGAAATAAGGACATTCAAATGGTATATTCTATAGTTTCATTTTTAATTTCTATATTATCAAAATCAAATCTAAATCATTACATTCAGATTTGAAAGAATTCACCACCCTGACATTTACAGGTTAATAAACATATTTAATTTGTACTTTCCTACAGATTCTTTATTAGATATTATTATATTCACTCCCCTGACATAAATGCATGCCCACTTTAAATTCAGATTAGTTTATATTAATCACACAAAAAATTGAAACAGTTTGATTAGATGAGCCCACTTAAAAGTAAAGACATGGGTGGTAATTCATTTCTTTTATCTAGGTTAATAAGTAATATTTCAATCATTTCAATGTTAGAGCATCGATCAGATATTTTAATTGTTACATCAGATTCCAAATATAGAAATAGTGATATTTCAAAGGAATTGCTGTCATGAGAAAGAATCTACAACATATCTGTTTTTTATAACATTCAACTGCTTCAAAGTAAATATTGAGACATGTGAATGAAGAGTAGTTTAGATGGGAAAAGGCCAGCCTAATAAAATAACATAACTTGCAAATTGAAAAGACAGACAGCATAGACATTGTTCAGCTACATGTCATTATGTGACTGCTCAGTTGAAGAACACTTTTTCTGGCCCTCTCCCCTCTCCCCATGTTGTCCCTGAATCAATATGAGGAAGCGAAAAATCAATAGATACAGCCTCACCAAAGGGTCCTATTTTATGTTCTGTTTTTCTGCCCTGTGGTGTAGCCTCGATTTATCACTTAAATGCTCAAAAGGAGGGAGGGATTAACAAAAATAGTGTTTTACTGAATTAAAGAATAAGTTACAAAAGGAATATGTAATTATACACTGTATTATATTTACTGACCTGTTCATGTGCTATAAATGGCTCAATAAGAAATGTTTTAAGTTTCCCTTTGGCAGCACCGATCTGAAAGATAAAGAGATTAGAAAATGTATCAATATCTATATTTATATGCTGTGTTGATGACTCCTTATTACAGCATGTCATTGTCCAATCTTCTTGCTAATTTACATTAGTAAATATCAATAAATAAAAATATGTATAAGGCAATGAGAAAAATGAACGTCCAATCAAAAGTAGCTATACAGAATTACAAGAGCACTGGTTGTTCATTGTGGCTTAAAATTTTAAATAAAAGAGCATTTCTGAGGCTGATTGGGGGGTTAGCATGATTAAAGGGTAAATCATGGGCTATGCCATACTTTTGATCAATAGCAAATGATAGATTCTGTGAGTAACTGACTTTAATGGACTCAAATGAGCCTTTGGTCATTGAGTTAAGAAGAGACCAATTACAAATCCCCTACTTGAAAAGTTAAATCAGACATATACAGACTCTTATTTTTGTGGCCAGAAAAATGTGTTCTTGAGCTAAAAAGTTTTAGAACACGTGACTGGATGGCTGTGTGATCTGCACCTGAACATGACAAACAAAACTTGAAACACTTTTGGGAAGGAGTAATACAAAGACAAACAAAATAAAACCATCTGAGACCCCTGCCTGCACTTTGGTGTGGCTTGGTAGCATTCGGCACCTTTGATTTTTTTTTATTATTAACACCACCACCCCCCCACCACCCCCCAAAATCAAGTTGACTTACCAGCACTTTTCTATAAGCAGTGGATGTAACTCAAACCCTTGGTACCTAAGCAAAGTGGTGCTATATGCAGGTTCAGCTAGTCTTGAATAATTATTACATTCCAGGAACAGTGCAATTTCAAGATTTACTATTTCCAGGTGTCACCTACCAAAGCAAAACAGGGTGAGGCCAAGATGTCCTGCCATGCCCCTGGACTAATGCCATTAGTCTTAAATATGTTCTTAAATTAAAATGAGTGAACTAAGATAAAATAGAAAAATTAGGCTTTAATATCTCAAAAGCATTTACTATGTAGAAAAGAATGACTCTTTTATTAAAAAAAACTTGTAATACTATAATTGGGGTTGTTCTCTGAAATATCCTGCTAGAGAATTTTAGAGCACTTATAAAAAATATAATCTTTCATTATAATTGCGGTTTCTTTTTATATATACATAATATGCATATATATATATATATATACAAAATATGCATATATATATATACATAATATGCATACCTTTGTTTAAAAGCTATGTTAATTTTAATATAGTTTATTTTTAATTAAGTGAATAAAGATCAAATTTAATTTGTTTATTTCTTTTATACTTGTCAATTAAAAAAAGAGGAAATTAACACTGAGAAGAAATTTACACTGGCATGTTGAAAAACGTGGTGTAAAACTTAATTGCATTTTAATACACATTAGTCAATTCAGAATGCATATTTAATGAATGCTTAACACCCTTATATGTGATCAATTCTCATTTCAAGAATAATTTGAATAAATTTTATATACAAGTATGTTGATAAGGTATTTAAGATAGAATGATGATACCTGGGGAAGCAGACAATGTTAACAAATATTTATTAAAATTTGCTTTCATTAGAGCCTTTGGCAGCAACTTAATTTGAGAAAATAGTTAGGAAACCAAACATAAAATAAAATGCATAGAAAACATTTGAAGGCCTTCTCTAATATTAATGTGTTTAATAGATTTGGTCAACAGCTGCCATTGAATTTTGTTTTGTTTTTTTTTTTGCTCTGATCATGAGTGAGACTGCTTACTGGATCTTATATTATTAGCTATGTCACTTTACAACATTGAATTTCTAATGAGTTTTATTATAAGACCTTTTTAAGAGGTATAACAAATGAATTTAATATTCAAGTAAAATTGGAATATTGGGAGGAAAAGTCAGTGTGTGCGTGTTTGGAGAGAGATAGGAGAGGGTGGGGTGGGGGGGGGTGTGTGTGTGTGTTATTTCTTAAATTTAAATTGATCTAGATGTTACTTTGTTTCTTCCCTAAACTGCATTAAAAGATGCTTCAATTTCACTTTTAGCATGGTAGAAATAAAATATAAACATATCTGAGATAAAAAAATCTCATTTGTAATTGCTATGTACATTTACAGTTGTAACATAAGATACAGCAAAAGAATTTTTAAAAAACATTACATTTAAAGGGATACATAAATAGATTCATCATTAGCTCAATATAATATTTCAGTGTTACGACGACGTGAGTTTCCCCAACAAGCTTGTGATAATTAAAGTATGTTCTGTGTACATTCTTTTTTTTTTATTTCTAAAGAGCATGAAAAGCATGGTAAGGCCCATTTTCAGCTACTGACACAATTTTATTTTGCATATTCACAAAGTATACTCTTACCTCAAACTGTTTCCCCAGTTTGGTTTGTAGCCATTCCTGAACCCCTCCAATGTCTACTCCTGCTTTAATGAGACCTAGTTTACCTCTACGCTTTATTAGTTGATCAGGCTTTACAACGAGTTTCTGAGGATCAAAACAAAAATACCTCTTGTTTTGAACTAGTTAGATATACAAAATATTTTTATTTAACTTTGGAACACAATCTTTACAAGTACTTTTGTGTTGTTTAGTTATGAGAGTGTTTTTCAAATATAACACTTCAATCAAATTGACATTTGAAAAATTGTGAAAACAATAAAATTACATATTATTAAACAAGAATAAATTATTAAAGATTTTTTTAAAAGCACATACAGTTTTAATATGTTCCACTTAATAAATTACATGCTCAAAACTAACCTCATTTGAAAGCCAAGGATTTTCTTGCACAATCTGATTCCAGTTAACATTCTCATCAATAAAAGCGTAACGATTTTTCATTGCCACATCTCCTAAAAATTTGTTCAGTAGCTCTTTGCCCTTAGCTTCATAAATAGCCTTAGCAGACATTCTTGGTAGAGCTTGATAAAGGCCTCAAAATACTTAACCTAAAAGTAAAAGACAGAAAACTTTGAGCTCAAACAAAAAATAAAAGTAATAAGTTTTTTGTCATAGATCTAGAACCATCACAAATAGTGTCTAATTAAAAATACAAAATAAATATAAAAAATGTTCATAAATGTCTTCACGTATTCTAAATCTTTCTTGAATTTATATCCCACTTACTAAAACACATCATTCTAAAACCAAAACAGCAAAAGACACCAATATGATTAAAATAGCTTAACACAAAAGTAGGCCACTGTACACAAGGATGCATAAGAATTTTCACTTGAGCTGGCACACCTCAGGTTTGTGCATCTTATTTATATAGATGCAATAAGAATATCTGCTAACACACCTACAAAAAGAGTCAGCTTAGTAGGCGTGACTTGTTTCACATTTTGATATTTGTTGTTGGCGTGTAATAATACTAGCCTATAGGACATGGTCTCTGCATATAATAAATTTTGAATTTAGAACGGATCTTCATTAACTATTTCAAAATGTACCACTTTAAATCAACACTACTTAGTCCCCTAGTGTCAATAAAAAAAATAATTAAATATTGAGATAAAAGTACAGGAAAAGTCAATATTTATTTACAGCAGAACTATAACAGACTCCACATTTTATTTAAGAAGATATTCCAGATTCTGTCTTGATAAGCTTAATAAGCTTTTTAGGTCTAAAAACTATTTATTTTGGATAATCTTAAATTAGTAAATATTCTAAGATATTTTCTTTTTATTAATATGATGTGGTGTTGGCTACATTCAAAATAAGTTATTTTAAGCCCATAAAAGGCAAGATATACAAGAAGTAACACTAGTTTAGGAACACTGACACATTTCATGCAAATGTTACCTACTCATTAAAATCCTGCAAAAATGAGGGACTCAAAAATAATAATGGAAAATATAAATACAAGTTTACGAATGAGAAGTAGACTTTAATAAAGGAGACACAAGAATGAATCCATAAGTTTTTAATTTTTAATTGCTAGCTAGGATTAGGATAGATTCATTGTGTCAAATGTGAATTTATTTCTTTAAAAAAAGACTACAAAATTATTCATGGATCAATTTTGTTACAAGATTCAATTCCTTAGCATGAGAATATTACATTACTCTTTTACAGCTCAGTTTACCTACTGTGAATAATAATTTAGTGGTAACATTTGGTGCCAAATTAGAATTAAACTAGTTGGATGAATTAATAGAATAACAAATTATCTGTACCAAAAAATTATAGTTATAGGCTTTCATTATCATAAGGGAAATTTAGAGTATTAGTAGTTAGTGCCTAGTGCTGCCCCACTAGCTAGGAGCATGAATTATGAATTTATGAAATGGTAAAGTATGATCATATTAAATTATATAATATTATATAATTACATTCACTTTATGACTATAGTGTCTATAGTAGTATAGAATAGACTATGACTATAGTCTATAGTATGACAAGACTAGAGACTAGAGAGGCAGAGGTTGTTTTGTTTTTTTAAATAGTAGGCTGTTACTATTACTAATATTTATTTTAATAATATTTTAAGCCATCTTCCTATTCCTCGTCATAAAACTTTATATTTATATTATTATTATTTTACTATAGCACTACTGCTATTAATTAAATAAATTTTATAGAGTGAGAGGCTAGAGGCAGTAGAGGCTATGCTCCTTTACTTCTTAAAATAATTTATATCATATTCTTATCATCTTCTTCTCTTAGATTCTTAGACCTATAGACTATCGGCATACGCTTTATAACTTTAATCTATAGTAGTACCACATAGAGTTCGACTAGCCTGGCAGAATTTTATTATGTGGGGAAGGCCAACTCGTTTTGTTGTTGTTTACTACTTCGGCTTACGTCAGCTTACTTGCCGGCGCGGTAATAAAAAGGAAACAACAGTAAATAAATTCTTATTATAAATCTTTTTAAAATAAATATTTCTTTGACATAATGGCCATTAATTCTTACCAGTGTAGAGATGATCCAATCTTAAATATTTTTAAAATTATATTGCTAAATTATGGAGAACACAACATCAATCGAAATTCACAACTGAATAATCCAAGAGGCAGTGGCCTGTTTCTACTCGCGTGCTCAAGAATATCAGCCGATGAGTTGGGAGTTGGCCTTTGACCTCTGCATACATTTGAATTCGTTTCTAATCATTGTTTTTTATTAGTACATGTCAAAATTAATGTTATATTACTTATCCATATTTCACAATTTAAAATTTTATAGTTTAAAAAAATCGTCACAATTATTTAAATATTAATTTAATATTTTATAGATTTCATAAGGATCTTTATTTAAGTATGTATTATCAACAATGATTACATTATGCAAATTAGTTTAACGAGAACCACCGAGGTTAATTTTGTACCCCCTCTCTTTTCAACGTAGGCCCTTTGGGATAGTTGGGGTGTGGGGTACCGTGCGCTTGTTGACTTGTAAATAAAAGCAACAACGCATGGCCTTATGAGTCCGCTGAAAAGAATATAAAGTTAACTTTTTTCCCACTATTGTCGATGCTGGAATAAATATTAGAATAAATATACAAGACTGATTTAGGCTACAATTATTATCCGATTTCTTGCACATGTTTTTTTACGCCGGATCCACTGACTTGCAGCATGGGAATATGAATGTATCAAATAGCGAAGTGATTGGCCATGAAAATTCTTGACCATCATTGTCCTGCCTCATGATTAAGGCCAACTTAAGGCGAAGGTCACAGCCAGCATTGTTTCTTTCGGACAATGTGTTCCCGGAAAAGGGGGGGGGGGATTTCAAGTGGGCAGTGCCAATGGCGTAGGAAGGGTGGTGGGGGGGGGGGTGGGGGGGGCGGGGGGGAGCGGGGGGGGGGGGGGGGGGGGGGATTTCAAGTGGGCAGTGCCAATGGCGTAGGAAGGTTGTGCAGAGGGGGCGGTCCGCCCGCGGGGGTGTTTTTCATTTTATGAATGGGTACCAAAATTAGACATAATAACGGCAATAATGGTGACCAAGATTCGATATAATTCCACCCTTTCACCAACATAAACTAATTTCAGTTTAGCTGAGGGTATGCTTTTTGATCCAGTTAAGTTTTATCCCTGTAATCAATATAGCCCAATTATATATAGCCTAAAGGAAGATTATAAATTCGTCAGTTCAAAGAAATCATCTTAATCATCCAGTATGTTTCTTAAAGGTGCCGACACTATCATTTTGATTTGGGTAGGCGGACAGATTGTGGGGTTGCGGACGGGTACCGAACGAAATGGGAAGGGGCTCACCCCCCAAAAATTTTTTGATAAATTCAGGGGGACATGGCACCTAACAGCACGCAAATTAGGTATTAGGGCACCCGGTGTCATACATAACTTAAATTCACTGCGGTTGTGGGGCATCCCAGGACACTCGTTTAGCACCAACTTATTTTCGCCCCAAAATGTCACATTGATCGGCGTGGAATGGAAGAAGGTGTTAAATCAGTTATCGATGGGGCGTGGAAGACTCCAGAGCGATTGGGGGGGGGGGGGCGGGGGGGGGGCCCTGGGTCTTTAGTTAAGAATAAAATAGTTTTAAAAAAATGTATTTTTTTAAATCCCCAAGGGGTGGTCACTGTGTCATTAGATTAGAATAAAATAGTTTTAAAAAAATGTAATTTCTTAAATCCCCACATATTATATAATACGTAAATAGACAAATTATGTAATGATGACTATTTGACATTTCTTCTAAAAGTATCTTCCACCCCCCCCCCCAACACACACAAAACACACATATTAAGTTAAACGAATTGTTTTGGAACATTTCAAAGAAGCGCCCACACCTTCATTGAAGAAGCAAGAATTGAGTGCTTTCCAATCATCCGCTGCATAATAATATAAATTAAAATAAGGCTATTCTGAGAGTTCTGCAACTGCTCAATGTGAAACGTTATCGGTGTGAACATGAAAACACTATAAACAGGCTTTAGTTGTTTCCTTCCAGCGATTTTTTAAAATCTGAAATATTTTACTATAGTAGGCATGTATATAGGCTACATGTATAAAAGTAGATTATGGGCCATAAGCAACGTTTTCTCATGTCTTCCAATGTTCAATGTGCTAATGTCTTGTTTCAACCTATTGTGTATGATCATCGTTCTGGGAGGGAGGGAGGTGGGCCTTTTTAAAAATGTCAATGCATTAATATATTAATTTTAATTTCGTCGACAATAAACGGCGGAATGCGAATAGGCAGACGCACCAAAGTGCGCCCTTAACACACATACACACACACATAATTTATATATGTTTTATAGAAGCCCGTTGTCATGGGAGATTACCCTTCGTCTTCCCTTACGTATGCCAATTACCGCCAATATTTATGCTCTCTAGTGGCAGTGCTGTCCAACCCTTTTAACTCCGGGGCCTAAATTATTTTTTTAAATTTAGTGAATCCGAAGGCCGCACATGACATGTCAAAAGAAATTTATTAATACTTCTTACTTTATGCATAAGGAATCATATGTCCGTTAGCAGTGTCATCTCAACGAATAAAAACTGTAACCCATCATTTATGCGATAGTTGGTGTTGTTTTTTTTTTTGCAATCCTGTTAATTTTAGGAAAGTATTCAGTAACAGCTGCACTTATTAACTTTCTTAAATGCTAGTCAGTCATTGTGTTTCGTTTTTGGACTTGATTTTGGTCTTTACAGAGAATCTAGTTTCACAGACGCAGGTGCTTCCAAAAAATCGTCAGTATCTTTTTAAAACCTTTTGATGGTTGTAGAAATTCATCTGAAGAAACATGATGCCATCCAGAGTCCAGATGGCGACGCATCCTTATTTTTTTCACGAAGGGTTGAGTTATGCTGAATTTCGACGATTTCAAGCTTACTGAGCCTTTCATCTGCTCCTAATAATGTCATTTGTAACACAAACAAATTTGGCTACAATGAAGATATCACACGAAAAGGAATTTTCAACAAAAAGAAAAACAGGAGAAAGACTGAATTTTAAAACGATCTGTGTACTCTAACTTTAACTTTTCTAACAATAGATTAAATAGATCAATTGTGACCAGCTCTGGCAGTTCTTGTGCATCCTTTGCAATGGCTGGGAAGTGTTAAAATTTGACTGATTTAGTTGAGTAATGAATAAATCCAGCTTATTCGAAAACATTAATTTCTTTCATCAGCGCTGGTTAGATTTGAAAACGCCCTTGCAGTTTAAAATTAAATTTATTGAGGTGATCTATTATACGATGTCAGTTAGAAAGCTAGCCTTACTATAAACTCAGGTATTTCCAAATATTATAAAAAAAATTCGCCCTTTTCTTTGGACCTGAGAAACAGTTTCATTCTTCAATTATTAGATCCCAGAATCTTGCCAGCACCTTCCCTTTGATCAGCCAATATACATCAATATGAAGAACAAAATACCTAAACTTTCTTTAATATCCTTGTAACAAAGTCTTAAAATGTCGGTGATTTAATGGATTAGCTCAAATGAAATTTAGCATTTTCAACACACTATCCATACATTTCTGTAGTGTATCATCTTTCAGCTTCTTAGCGAATATTCAACCCTGCTTTAGTAGCATAGGCGCTTGAGCTCAAAATCCTACGAAAAACATTTCACTGGCCATTCAGCTTTTTTTTTTTTTTTTTAAATTAAAGAAATAACGTTGTTGACTCTTAGCTTTGTTCCAGTTGGATAATCTTTCTCAAAATGCAATAACTTTTTGTGTCCCTGCAGATTTGACTTTTTAATAAAAATCCTACGAAAAACATTTCACTGGCCATTCAGCTTTTTTGTTTTTTTTTAAATTAAAGAAATAACGTTGTTGACTCTTAGCTTTGTTCCAGTTGGATAATCTTTCTCAAAATGCAATAACTTGTTGTGTCCCTGCAGATTGGACTTTTTAATAACAGATAAAGAATTCTGGCTTATCAAACACACTGGTTTTTTTTTTTATTTCGCAATGATAAAAAAAATCCAGTTTCCATGAAGCGTTAAAAGTATTGATATCTTCTGTAACTTTCGGTACTGTCTCTCAGAATTTCTCTCTGATTGAATTGCACTAACTAAAAACACAACTTTTATCCTGCTCTCTGCTCCCGGAATTGATCGTACTCCGCTCACCACGTTTATTATAGTCTAATTTTTGTCTTAAAAAATACAGGATGGACATATTTATTCTCCCACCTGGACAGACTTCCCATTTCGTTTCAACTGGTTACATTTCCTTCCAATCATTTGCGACACCTTTCGCACCTGAAATCTCGTTAACTCCTGTCTTAGTAATGCCATCTTATAAAAGGCAGCCATTTCAACGCACGTGGTGCTCACATATCTAATTCTTCCAAACCAGTCCCTTTGGTGAGAATGGCCATATTTGACATGACCAGCTTGCTACACATCAAGTGACCGTAATTTAAGTTTCCAAATTCATCTTTCCCAACGCCGTCAGTAATTCAACCCGTAGCCTACACCACGATCCCACATCCTCCTTCTTTTAGGCCGGTTGAAGCCGCATAGGATAAAGGATAAGTTAGTAAGTATCCAATTCCATGTCACCCCATTTTATTATCTGATGACGCGCCTAACATAAATTAGGCCTACTGTTATCTGTCAAGGATCCCTCTTCTTTTGCCACACCCATTCTTTTTTCGAATGCCACTACTTCTATGTTCTCATACGATTTCCCAACAATACTGAATCATTAAATTAAATGTCGTTTGATTTTTTTTCCATCTAAATTAACGTGTAAAAATGTCTCAAGCTCTGGCGGCCCGAGGGTTGGACAGCACCGCTCCAGTGTCTTGGTGACATTAAATACGAACGTAATTTATGCATAAATATTCCTATTTGTCAGGAATCCATTCTCATAGTCACTATAGCTGTTGATAAATGACGCTAAAATGTGAAGGCTGGAGACCCCAGCACAGTGTTTCTTGAACTTTCAAGCTCGGCACACCGGTAGATAAGTTTACCATTGCACTATAGACCGATGCTAATTTATAAATATTGTTTTGTTTTGTTTTTCGACTCTAAATTTGTTTGTACAGTTCTGTGTATGGATCGGCAACGCAAGGCTCGCGGATCGGTGTCATTCCGTGAACACTGCTTTCGGAAACACTGCAGCCTAAGACCAACAGCGGTGTCGGATTTACCTATAAGCTAACTAAGCTACCTTACAGCTTAGCCTTAGGGCACAATCTGCCGGCTACATATTTTGATTTTTTCCCTTTGACCAGCTGATTTAATTTAAAACACCAGGGCTTTAAATAACTTCTGGCCCCAGGAAGTCTAAGTATGGCCCTGCCTAGACGATAGCTACTGGCAAAACTCTTGATTTATTTCCCGACACCGCAGTAAGCAACAAGCCCCCAGCTCAGGTGGAGTCTTCGCTCACTGACATCTGGCGGTAGATTTTAATACTTACATTTAACAGGTTGGTTTCGAGAGTTTTGGGGGCACATAATTTCAGTAGGGGGGTCACCCATTCTCGAATTGTACCGGTAGGCCTACTTCCCACATTGGGGGCGGGGGAGGGGGTGGCTTCGTTACTAAAAACAACTTATGTTAGTTATTTATTTTACCTATTGTTTCAAGGAAAATCTAAAACTGGAATTGTCTTTTGAGTATTTTGAGCACCAATTAGTTTGTGAGTCGTAGGATGAAGCCTGTACAACGCCGGCCTTAAGGTAAACTTTAGCCCTGTGGGAAGCACCCGTTCGGCGCCCCTTTCCCTGTCTGGCTACGCTCTTTTTTTCGATTACGACGCCGGCTATAGAGCTCGTATTATGATGCTATTTCATGCTATACATGTAGCTAACCATACGCAGTTTAGCATGCACATTAATTTAGACTGTTCAGTTTTTCAACGGTACTTTGTTCCATTCCCACACCACCTTTCACACACCTAAGCAAGAGTAGTTAACCCTTTCTTAACCACTCTAGTCCGACCCCGGACCCGAGGTTCACTGTATTAAACTAAGGGAATTTATTTACTGGGCGCCCCTATGACCACGGCGCCTTGTGCGAGGATACAGCTTGCACACTTTAACTTAAAGGACGGCGTTGGTCTGTAAGGCTAAACTTATAAGTGTTGACGGATTTAGTGACTTGAGCCAAGTTTTTTGCTTTTATAATTTATAAGCATGGTGTCATTTCTGTAATGGTGATTTATTATATTATATGTTCAGAGCTACTATTCTACCAGATGTTGGATTTTGAATTAAGACTACAGTGTAGCCGGAGGACTCCGATCAAAACATACCACGCTACACACAGTCCTCAAATCTATCATAAAGACTATACAGTGTAACTGGAGGACTCCGATCAAAACATACCACTCTACACCCAGTCCTCAAATCTATCAATGCATATACAAAACAATCTCATTGCCTGATAAGCTGAATTGTTTTCCTGTGTTAAAAAACAAACAAACAACCAAGCAAATGTTTTCAGATAACGCCATTTAGTCCGGCGATCGTGCTACAAGACCCCAGCTGTAGGTCATGAGGCGACCAGTACTTGCAAAAACTTCGAAAAAGCAAACAGGGTCGCACAATTTATCACCCTCACATGACGAAAGGGAAGGCTGGGGGGTGGGGTGTCAGTCCGAGGGGAGGTGTCCAGTTCCACGACACACCTCTTCGGAGGAGACAGAAGTAATCGAGCATTAATGGCCAGTTCCAACATAATTTGTAATGTGGGGCTGGTAGACCGATACCGTTGAGTAAGTTTTGAAGGCCTTCCCCCTTCGATATTCGTTAGTTAGCTAGCCTATTCAAATATCAATGCAATTATTCTTAAAAATACTTTCATTAAAAAATGTTCCACTTCAGGTGGACCCATTTAATGATTTGGTCACCCTTCATTCACGGAAGCCACACAAAATAAAGAATACACGTCACACATAATAAGCAGAAGGCTATTTAGTAGGCCTATGTGCCGTCCCGGATCTCTGGTTGACAAGTCTATGGTGGCTTGTCGATTAGGAGGCGTCGGCCACCGACCCCTCGGCGTTACCCGGGGAACACAACTACTGGGCGCGTCCTGCGTGGGCAGACAAGGGATGTGCTCGGTACCTGCCGTACACAAAACAGCTCCTACAGGGCTGCCAGTTGTGATACTTCCCAACTGGAAAAATAGACAGGGTAGGGATCATTACAAGTTGCCGTTAATGGATATGAGGCGAGAGGCGAAGGTGGTAACCTCTGGCCGATGATTCTTACTATGCAGCCCTGAGAAGCTGCTCCAAGGCAACCGTTTCGTCCCAGCTACATCGCGATTTAGTTGCGTTGTGGAAACCCACTGTAGAATCCCTCTTATAGGGCGTCTAACGCGTCCCCGGGATGGGTGGGGGAAGATATTAGGACGTAAATTTTTCCATCCCGACTCCTGAGAAAGTCGATCGTGTGCACTGTGTCGGACCGACCGGGTGTCTTTGGGTTAGGAAGGCCCCCGGCGGAGACCCTGGTCGAGCAGACACAGGTGGGGGCTGTCCTAACAAAGGGACATCCCCGACGTGCCGCTCAGCGGCCCGATACCGGGTTGGGGTATTTTGGGGAGGGCATAAAGAGCGCAAGCTCGACGGCCCGCTAACGCCATTTCTTAACATTTCAGTAGGCCATTTTGCAGTGGAGGAGCCCCCCCCCCCCTTCCCCATTACACAGAAAAAATATGCACTATTTCTTTAACCACTGGTACAAAACTTACTGTGACAAAGTCAAACCTACATTAAACAGGAGGATGCAAATTAATTGTTCCTCAAATTTTGCTACCTTATGACTTGTTCTTTATAATTTTCGAGATCATCAATCAAAACCAGGTCAAAAATTTTACTTAAAATAAAAAACCAGGCAGCGGCGTGAGAATCGCAGTGCGGAAGGCGACCTTTTTTTTCTCCCCCTTATAGATTGACAGGCAGCATTTTCTGCCAACTGCAGAGTTTCTTCGTGGCAGGAGGGTGGCAAAAAGCTTGACCCGCCCCAGGCGGCACTAACACTGGCTACCCCACTGAGACCAGGTTGGATTGGACATGAACACTTTTATATCTTGAGTTATAACAACAAATAAATGACAAAAGCCAGTTTAAACTGGATAAGATGAACACTTTTATGTCTTCAGTAATGACAACAAATGAAATGTCAATCACACAGAATCACATAAAACATATTCATACAAAAGTCTGTACAAATACATTTCAAGGAGTGAAAATATTTTAAATGATTTACAGAGGTTATCTACTCTGCTTTATGACAGACACCAACATAATAAATAATATCAACTGTGTGAGGGTTAAAGTAAAAGATGCCTCAGCCTGAATTATTTCATTAAATGATTACTTCACCAACCGCTGGTCTATTTCTGAAACTCACCAACAAAAATAAAAATTAAAGAATCTTCTCATTTAGTTAACAGGGTTTTTTTAATTTTAAAAACCTAGTTTCCAACTATTGAACAAATCCTGAAATGCAGACAACTAGAAATAAGTTTCATTTGTCGCTCTTCCATTTTTTACCAGCAGAACAACAACCTCCTTTCACAACATGACAATGAAGTTCAACATTTTTTTAATGAAAGTAAATAAAAAAAAGAAAACAATGAACACATCGTTGTGGTTTATGTCCTCAAGCTTGTGGCGCCACACTCCAGGAAATTTGTATATGGATACCTGGATAAGTGATGTAAATACAGCTTGGATACCCGTAATGATAAAGAGAGGTACTTGAAGCTTATCTAGTCCAGCAAACTCGCCATCACGAGAAGTAAGGAACTCGGTTGTTTCAGGTGAGTGAAAGGTATTCCAACTGATTCTTGTCCAGCATGATTTTTCTTGGGACCTGATCCATTTGATCCATACTGTATTTTATCATCATTCTTTTATTAATGCCATCCAAAACAACTGAAAAAAACCCCAGAAATTCAAGCAGTCTTTTTTCATTATTTGAAAAGACTGCCAGATTTAATTTTCTTGGTAAATATTGTTTTATCTGTGGTCTTCCCCATCCATGGCGGAAATGTTTTGACAGGTTTTTGTGAACTTAATTGACTGCTTAAACTCTGAGGCAGGCTGGGGTGTTCAACCTGGGTGTCAGATAAAGATGTCATTAAAGAAGTTTCACATAAAGCTGTTTCAGAATGAGCAGTTCCAGCAGAGCCCAAATTTAAGTTAGATGAAACAGATGATTGGGAAGCACTCAATTTTTGCTTCTTCAAGGGGGGTGTGGGTGCAACGGCAGAACTTTCCTGAAAAGTTCCAAAGTAATACAGTTAAACATGTCAATTATAAATTGTTAATCATTGTTATGAGATTAGGCGGTTTATGTAATATATTACACATATAATTAACAATTAAATAAAGTGAAAAATAAAATCTGGAGACTTTGTAAATGGCCTTCTTATACTTTGTTTATACAAGATGCTTAATTTGTATAATTTCTTACAAGTACACCACTGCTTTAAATTGATCATTGTGAGTGCTATATGTAACACTTAAAAGTAAGAATTGTAAATTGTTTACAGCTTTTATATTCATTCTAATACAAAATTAATTTTAAAATCATAAATGAGGTTTTCTGGACAACTTACAAATTCAGAGTCAGTTGAGTCTTCATATATGGTAATAGCTGCTTCTGAATTTTGATTGGTTGACTGGACACCAATGAGAACACGATCCCCATTATTATTGATCTCTTCACCATGTTTAAGAATAAGATTAGAGATGATCACTTTTATTTGGTTGTATTCAACATAAGGGGGAAGCTGGTCTTTGATTTTGGTAAAGCTGGAAATTACTATATTTTTTGAAGGAAAATAAAAATAGTTTAACAAAAGCACAGTGAAAAAAAGGAGTATTCTAATAATTAAAATGAACTTTTTTAGGTCATTCTACCATTAAGGACCAAAAAACAACATATTTTAATGAAAAGACATTAAGAAAAAAAAATAAATTTTTTTAGTAAAAGAAAAGTAATATCAAAATTTAGCCTACTTTAAATTAAAGTATGAAATGATTTTCACATAATTAACAAATTTGAGTTTAATGAATACAGGAATAATTTTTGTGTAGCTCCGGTAATGTTGTAGTTGAAGCCTTGGTCATCTTCGCATGCGAAGGATGAACAATAATAAGTAGAAATAGACAGAAATGATCAGGGGCTTCCCACCAACACCCAAAACAAAAAAAAAAACATCCTCCAATTATTGACAATTAACAGATTTAACCATAATGATGAGATAAGGTGCTTCTCATCAACCCAAAGACACTAAAGTTAGAGCCTAAAGTAATGTCACTTTGTTTCGGTGAAGACATTTGATCAAATAAAGTATAAATAGAATAATGTTCTGTTGAATGACTTTTTGAAAATATAATTTGGAAAAAACAATTATTATAATTGAATTATTCTGTAGATATAAATTTATATACCTCCATTTACAGGAGGAGCCCATATTGCATCAGAAATCAACTTTTCGATTTGAGGGGTTAAGCCCAGCCGCCTTATGTCAACAGCCAAGCCAACCTTCAGTGCTTCACACAGGTGACCGACAATTGTGGATGTTTTCAACCCACGTTTTGATGCTACTTCCTCCTGTATTTGAAGAGTAGTTAATGAAGCATTTTAAAAAAAAAAGTAATTAATTTTTGTATAATTAATATAAGCATTTGTCAAATTCAATGATAACTTGAATTGCTAAATGTAATTTGCTTCTCTTATTATTATTTAAGTTGGTTGTATTAATTACCTGTACATAAAAAAAGGTAAACAAGGGCAAAATTATTTTGTATACAATTGGTTTATAAGTGCTTCACCCCTGCAAACATGTTCTTACTATTACCATCATTTTCTAGAGTAAGCCACTTAAATAAAATCAATAACCTCAAAAATCACAAAACATTGAATAAATTTAATATAATTACCAGTGAAATGTTCTGAAGTACAAACATGATATATGATTGTCTTTGTGTTTCCGTTAATTTCATAAGATCCTCTTTTACGCAGGCCATGCTATCAGCAGAATCCTTTGGAAATAAATTATTTGTCTCATAGATTGATTAACATTTGATTAATTTTTTTAACAAAGTCTTTGCAATTAAATTTTTTTTAGCTTAAGCATTAAAGCATTTGCTCCGTCTTTCCGTCTCTGTTTGTGAATAGCTTAAATATCTTTGAGCAGACACAACCCGCAAAGCATAAAGTAAATATTTTTAATCATATAGTACCTATACCAAACAACAAGCATAACATGAAAATGAATAGTATTGCTCTTAAAGCAATGATTGATAAACTTATTTGCTCACCATCGTGTCCACTACTGGGAAGTTGTCAGTTTTCAAAGTAGATTTTAAACAAAAGGAATTAATCAGTTCCAGGAACTTGTCTCCAAAATTGTCAGCCTTTACTTCTGAAAAATCTTCCAGCCTTAGCAATGATGTCCTGATACTTGGCCTATAAATTTTCATATTGTTAAATTCTACTCAACTAGGACATTGGCTAAAAATAACTTACACAGACAAGTTTAATGAACAGTTTAGTGACATGAAGAAACTAATAACTTCATAAATTTCTTAAAATCATGTTGCATATAACAACTTTGGGGAAGCATTGAAATACAGTTAGCATTAAGTACTTCAGTTCACTAGATTTGTTCTGAACTGATAAAGGTTAAATACTCCCTTCACCGATTTTTCTAGAATGGCCAAAAAATTAATTGTTTTTAAAGTTATTGGTAAAAAAAAACTACCTGCAAAAAATCACACCAAGTTTTAACACTGGTATAAAAATAAAACAATCAAAACAAACCTAAACTTTGCCATATCCAAAAGAACCCTGTTGCTTGCAATCTTGTGGGGCACAAATCCTGTGTCTTGGGACATCTCATTTCTCAACTTCACCAGATGCACATACAATTCAGATTCAAGCTTGGCAGTCTTTTCGTCAACGGGTTTGGTTGGTGCTGCCAGTGAGGGTGGCGCCGTTGGGGCCGCCACAGAGGGTGAAGGTAACAGCTTTGTAGGCATATTGAGACTAGATAATGAATGAATCTGATGTAATCTGAAATTCAAGATAAAGTTCTCTTTTAAAATACCCTGATTTAAAACAAAAGAAGATATGGCTCCATCTTTTATGTGTCTAGATGCTCAAATTAAACGCTATTTATCTTGTAAACAATTTAAGAAATCTGACCAGCACTTTTAGAGTCTATTTGCTCAAATTAAATGCTATTTATCTTGTAGACAATTTAAGAAATGTGACTAGCACTTCCACGCATAATAGTCTCAATAATCATGCAAATTTATGTGATTATGATCTTGTTTTTTAATTTCCATTCATTATTTTGCTATCTTTAAAAATTTTAAATGCTGTTTATTCATGGTGAGATTCTGTTAAACTCACCTTGGTGCATATGTGACATGTTTTTTAGCGCCAGAGTCCAGCTCGTGCTGCAGATCGACTGTAGGTGTCAACAAAAGTTGGTGTGCACTGTTCTTGGACTTGTCCTGATTAAGCCATGACCTTCCCTGAGGTGTCATCTCTATTGTCAAACCGAAGGATCCAGAAATTGATTTCTCTCTCAGGTAACCTTCATAGACCAAGGCTTTGCCTTTGAAAGATGGAAGAAATTGTTATTTTAATTGAAGTTTAAAATGGGAAAATGATTTGATGTTTTTACTTAATAAAACTTTTTATAAATATATTATATAACTTTAATACCCTCCAAAAAAAACAAAAAAAAACTACAATAATCATTTAATTTAAAGCTTATGTCATTAAGTCTTTTGTGCATTAACACAATTAAAGAATTCTTTTTGTATTAAAAAAAAAAAAGATCCTTATGATGGAGTGTATTTTTTTTAAAGATACTCTGTCTTAATAAGTGTAATCTTCAAATATAATAATTTTTGTTCCATGACTTTTGTAATATAAAAATAAAAACTTACCCAATGCACTCCAAAACTTAGCAGATCTATACCTGTGCATAAAAATTGAAAAGTTCAAGTTTGTTAAATAAACATTACATTTAATTTTATGCACGTATTCCATTACATTAGATTAAACTGAAAGTGCACTGACAAGTTGTTGTAACTTTGAACACTGTTTATTTTGTTTTGGATTCAGTTAAGTCACATGATTTTCTTTAAGAATCAATTTTAAATCTTGTACTTATTTTCTTTATTGGGCTTTAGATTGCTTTGCATTTCTATTTATTATCGAACTAATGTAAAATAAATTAATTCAAATACAAAATTATTTCCAACATTTGTCTGCAGAAAGATGAAGCACATTACCAAGAGAAAAAAACCAACAACCTCTATTACGGTGCATGCATAAATATTCAAACTGAATTTATTAATTCATCATAAATCTAACAGTAACAGACTTACTTTCCAGATCCAAAGATTTTACAACCTCTGAAAGGTTCAACTTTCTTTACACTCGAGCCCAATAAAACTTGTGTTGGAACAGCTAGTCCATACCTGTTTCCTGTAACCTAATATTATACATAAACTTATTAGTGCCAAGATATTCTAAAGAGAGACAAAGTTGGTTCTTTTTTTTTTTAACTGCTAGAATAAAATAAAATTATACAGCATTACCCCATTATATAACATTTTAGAATGTCATGAAAACTTTGATTTTTTGTTTAACAAAAATGTTTCAGAGAATATATTTTTTTAGATTAAACATACCTCAATGGCTCTGAACAGATCTGCAGCTTCTTTGGCAAAATTAACTCCATCTTCTGATACTGTTGTATCTGAAACTGTTAATCCATGTCGCATACGAACTATTCTAAATTAAAAAGGACAGATGAAGACATGAGCAGCCTGACAACATTCTTTAAGAATAGAGTTACAAACTTGGTATAAAGACTCAGCCATAGAAATATCAACAGACAAAGATCATTACATCCCTGTTATTATGTGTGTACACACATATAAAGTGATTTATTTTTAGTGCATGAATATAATAATAAATAGATAAATCACCGTCACCAAATAATTTGGACAATTTTCAAATAAATTGTAATTTTTTTAATCAAACCATTATCAAATAAAACAATGTGTTAAATATTTGAAACATAAGTTTGGATTATAATAAAAGATAGCATATACTAACTGAACTTTGCTCCAAATTAAAATAGTAATTGAGATGTTGAAAGATGATATAGATTTACCTCTGTCTACAATTATCACAGCAGTTCTCTGTCCCACCAAGCTCATTCAGATTACCAGCTTCAAAGTGTGACAAAAGAACTCTGGAAAAATATGGAAATGATTTAAGTATTTATAAATAATTAAAAATAACACTATCACTATAGTGTTATCATGAAGGGTTATAACTGAAAAAGGACTTACCAACAAAATAGCAAAATGTTACGCTACCATTTTTTACAACAAAAATTTTATTTTATATGTAAGGAAATTATTTTTGATGCATCAGCTAATTTTTAACTGTGACTGTCAAGAACAGCTTTAATTGTCACAGGTATGTTTAAAAACTAAATAATTTGATCAAAGTTATGAGGGGAATAGGTGGTAATTAAAAACAATTTATCAAATTTTTTTTTCCAATTCAAAGAAAAAAATTGAACAAATATATGAACTTGAAAATTATTAAATGATTAATAAAATAGAAAGTATTATTTTTTCTACTGAGCTCTACCAATGCAAAGAGCTGTAAATAAATGAGAAGAGTTACAACATTAGTGTTGAAAATTAAAGTTTGGTTAAGTTGTCTTTCATATGTTTACCTGCGACGACAACCTGGCGTAGTCAAGTATTGCTCTACTTTGCTGAACATTTTCATCTTGTGCTGTCTAAATTTTTCACTTTGAATATCTCTGATAAAATGTCTGTTTTGAGAAAAGATGAGACAGCTTGTGATTATAATTTAAATTGTAATTCTTCACAGATCTGAGTCTATGGTTTTAACCAGGGGTTATTTGAATTACAAATACATTGTAAAAAACAACATATACAGTGATCTCGATAGCACTAACACTCTGAGGCTTTTGACCATGTAATATTTAATCAAAACCACTCACTTAGAAACATTAAAATCTGCTCTAGAGAAAATTGCTGTGCAGATGCTTGGTAATCCATCTCTACCTGCTCGTCCTATTTCTTGATAATAAGATTCTATATCTTTAGGGGCTGCAAAAAAAAGAAAAAACACTCTTTTGTAAGCCTACATTAAAAGATAAGGTTGCAGAAGTTTTAATTATTTATTAGCAAGATAAGAGTCTTAAAATTCAACTTATGTTTTGATGCACTGTTTTTTTAAAAACTTAATGTACACACTGGTTTAAAAAGGGTAAATTAGCTATTCTTAAGTACCAAAAAAATGGGAAAAGGCATGTATAGGCCAAAATAATCCTACCTCCGTAGTGAATCACTTTTCTAACATCTGGCTTGTCAATTCCCATACCAAATGCAACTGTAGCTACAATAACCTAAGAAACATTATAATAAGATTAAAAAATATTTTATTCTTAAAGTACTGTTTTTCTATAAATACTCATAATCCACTTATCGAGGCCATCAAATGTAACTTTTAAGTCAAGTTTGAGAATTAAATATTTTATTTATTTGTAAAATTCAAACTATAACAAAGCGATAATTTCATTGTCAGCCAATAACTGGGAACAGGCATAAACATTGACAAGCATGCAACTACTTTTTGCTCACCTGAATTTGATCATTCAAAAACTGATGGTGAGCTTTTTTTCTGGCAGCAAGGGATAAGGAAGCATGGTATGGCAAACAAGGTACACCCAAACCTAAATAAGTAAGACATAACGTTTGTTTTACTAAATAATCTATCAATAAATATTGGCTACACTAATTAAAAATAATAAATAATTAATTAATTTAGTTTGAAAAAAAGATAAGGTATATAAAATTGAATACAAAGTTAAGGCATACCACTCAAAGCACTTGTAACTTCCTCGGTAGATTTTTTAGTGGAACAATAGATAATAGTAGGACCATCAAAAACAAATTTATTCCCAGACAGCTTCAGTTCCCTCTTAAAGTCGGACACGATGTCACTTGTTTTTGGTGAGACAATGAGGTAAAGGTTGGGCCTTAAAAAAGAATATTTAAGAATCCATGAAACTATTATCACAATGTGTAGTTTTTCCTAAACAAGTTTCACTGACACCTGTTACAGCTTACAATTTATCAGGAGCATTAGTTTCCTTCATATACTTTGCAGTTCCATGATATCAGTTACAAAACAATTAGCTTCATTGAGGGAGCTAATTGATCAACTGTGGGCCACAGATCTCCTTGGTACTGTCCCTCAGAAAAGATGCTCACAGAGATAATTAATAGAGATTCTTGTTTACCTATCGAAGCTTGTGCAAGTCATATTTGGGTTAACAAGGTCCAAACTGCGACAAATATCTCTGCGTATCTCCATGGTGGCTGTGGCAGTAAGTGCCAATATCGGAATCTGAAATAATAAAGGGATTCCATATTAAGAAATATCTGATTTCTTAGAGATGATGAGGAAAGGAATTTAGAATACTGATCACTATGGTAACATAATGAGGACTATTAAAATAACAAAATAAAATAAAATAAAGTAAAATATTTTTAAGTAAGAGGCTCACAAATTTATCAGCTCTAATTAAAGTATCAGCTATATTTTTCAAAATAATTGGTAAGTTATTTTTTTTCATGTTTAATATTGTTGAAACCCTAAATCAGTGATTCTCAAAAAATATTTTACTTTACGGCACTTTAGGTTTGCCAAGTCAATCAAATCAAATTTACTGACAAATATAAATCTCCATATTTTTTAGGACAAGCAAAGATGTTGATGAACACATTTTAAAATGAACACCTTGAAGCTAAAAATATATATTCAAATATCATTATGTTTCTATGAATTTATTTTATTTAAAATATCTATAGAACCACAGCGACTTCCTGTTTTGATTCTTTTTTTTAAGGACATCCTTAGTTCTTGAAAATAATTCTCTTCTTCTTTAAAAAAAATAAATATTGAGAACAATTATTTTAATTATTTAAACCACTAATATCACACACAAAGTCTCAGAAGTTTTGTGGCACACTTTGCTAATCTCACTGAGAACCACTGCCATATCTTATAGCAAAAATATTCACCTCGGGAAATTCATTTTTAAGACACCCAAGCTTTCGGTAAGATGAACGGAAATCATGTCCCCATTGAGATACACAATGAGCTTCATCAATGGCAATCAAGTCAATACCTATGTAAAGGAAATAGAAAAAGATCAATTCCAATGAACTAATTTATTTTTAACACTTTATATCCATACGTAACCAAGTAGCAGTGAGCAATTTTAATCTTTTTATCTAAAAGTTGCCAAACAGAACCCATAGAACACAGCAACAAGAAAAATTCATGAATTATGTCCCTTTTGCTGCACTTGCATCCTAGCATTTTTACTCATTCATAAATGTGTATATCACAAATTTGAAAAGAAAATAACTTGTTAAAGGTCTGATTTCTGTTAAATTTTTAGTTTTTTTTACACTGATCAAGAGCAATTTTGAGAAAAATGGACTCAGTTCATGAATTTGATAGCAATTTAGATATAATTAGACATAGTTCCTCTGTTAATTATACTGGCTGTAGTAATACAGATTAACGAAGGGAAATCAGTATCGTCCCACTTGAAAAAGGAGTGAAAAGTCACGTGGATTGATGTTTTAACTCTATATACTATTGGATAAGTGTTAAATGCTTTAACCTCCAGGGTTCTGAGTTGTGCTGGCTTCTAAAAAACAACACGTCACATACCCAACACTTACCAACTTCTTTATTCAATCTTTTGAAGTCAGGTAAAGCCCTCACAGCAAACTCTGGCGTGACATAAACTAAGCGATAACGGCCTTTGAACATGTCATCCTTTACCACGCTTAAATTTGCCTGGGCTGAGCCTAGAAAGCATGCTTCGATGTTTGATGCTCTAAAAATATGGATTCATGAAATGACAATGAATTACATGGATAAATTTATATGTTTTTGTAAGCAAAAATTTTAAGTGAAGTATTTCTGAATTCTTTTAACAGATGCCAATAAAACTATGTTCTCTAGATAAAGCTTATAACAACAGATGTCTCATTGTTTATATATGTTACATGTTTAATATCTTCTACCAAGTATAAAAATTATAAAAATACTGGAAATAATGTACAGACTTGCAAAACATGAGAGATGAGACTGAAACAAGGGAAAGATAAATAAAAACATAACCTACTTTAGCCCATGAACTTGATCCTCCATTAAGGAAATAAGGGGGCTGATAACAATTGAAGTGCGTTTAGTGAATACAGAGGGGAACTGAAATGTTAAGCTTTTCCCATAACCTGTTAAGGAAAAAAAGTATTGTATTTGAAATCTACTATATAATTTCTTTTCTCTACAATAAAGAACTTTTTAAAACATTAAAAATATTAAGACTGAGCACATATTACCAAATAAAATAGCTTTGTTGATTTATAAACAAATGTGCTTCATTGCATTATGATTTGGCTTCATCACTCACTATAGCAGCTTAGGTAATAATTTCAATATTGTTTAAAATATTGGTAAAAATTATATACAAAAGGTCAACCAGGTTGTTAACATTAATATTCAAAGAATATTTTAAAAAAGAAGATATAAAAAGCTGTCTGTAAAAGTGCACATTTTATAAACATTGTATTCAGTGGCAGCTAGACATAGATTAAACTAATTACCAATAAATGTTAAAACTGAACCATATAAATAAATACCAACTCACCAGTGGCCATGATAACACAGTTGTCTCTTTTTTCATTCAGCACAGAGTTGATTATCTTCCATTGCATACTGAAATATTTATAAATCAAACTTTAAAACAATTCATCAAATTTATTATGCATTGCTCACACTAATTTAAAACATAAAATTGGAGAGGGTGATTTAAAATTAAGTAATTAAAAAACAAAGTGTACTAGTTCTAGACTAATACTAATTATAATTTCATCTCATGATTAGTACAATGACGAAGCATTCCCACTCAAGTTTTAAGACAAGAAATAAAAGAGATCAAAGCAATGATAGCAACATAACATAACGTTGAAAAATACAAAATACAAAGCTTGCTTACGGACGAAAGCTGGAGAATCCAAAATATTGCTTCAATACATCCAGATAGGCAGAATCTATGGGAGGCTGTGAATTGTCATCTAATAATAAAACAATTAACATTTTAAATTAGCATACTGTATGTTACAATAAATTTTATTTCCTTGTGAAGACAATAACTATAGTAACTACCATATAAGATGATCATATAAGATCTTGAGAGGGGGCTGAGAATGGTTGAGATAGTTTTCTTTAATCTTAATGCATTGCTCACAATGTATTTAACTTAGCACACATAATAGATGGCTGCATAAATATTTTTTAAGGTTTCAGGTCAGAGATGCACATTTTTTTCTTAAAAAGTTAAAAGATAGTTGCAGTAGAGGACGTCATGACCCTTATAAAAGAATATCACTTCATGAAAAAAAGAAATTGACATAACTAAATGTATTTAATAATCAATATATAGTTTTTAAAGAATTTGTTTTACACAGATTAAACTTACCAAGCTCATCATCAACTTGTAATTCCTCAAAGTCTTTATCATCTAGTGCACTTCTCTCTGCTTCATCTATTAGCTGATGCAGAAAAATAAAAATAGATATAAAAAACATTCAACATTTAAAAAAATTATAATTTATTAATATGAGTAGTAAGATAATAACCTGAAATAGAGTGTACACTTGAAAAATGTTTCATTATAGGGACTGAAATTAAAATTGTCAAAAACAAGGTCTCTTCAATAATGCAAATAAAGCTTTTAAAAATTATTGTAAAACATTACCTATCCTTTAATTTTAACAACTATATTATATTAAAACTATATTGTTGTTCGGATGTTGTTTGTATTTAAAATGAATTTGAAAACCTATTAAGAGTGCACTATGCAGAAATTGAGACCATAGAAACACCAACATAAATATGCTGATAAATTGGCTGGAAAATGTCAAAGGTTTCTCCTGTATCAATTTAAAATAAACCTGTATAATTTATTTTTCTATGCTATTAATATTTTTTTAAAAGAATTGTTTTTAATTTAAAAAAAAGACACAAAAAACTACACATAGAATTCCTCTTACCCTCATATCATCATCATCAAAGTCATTGTCATCAAAATTGCTCTGATCATTGGTTTCTTGTATAATAACATCTACAAATTTTGGTGCAGAATTCTGAAAGGTATTTTTACAAAACGTATACAATTTTTCAAATAAATACTGAAATGCAACCTGTCACTAAATAACCTTGCTTGAGGCTCGGTAGGTTCATTTGGTGACTTAATTGTTCTGATGTTTACAATATCCAAAAAGGAAAATATACTTACAAATATAGGTTCAAAAAAAATATGATGCAGTGAAATACATCCTTCACTGTCTCAAAAATCATACGGTCTTCACATAACTCATTCAACCCCTGTTCATTCCAAAATCTTATCCCTTCTCTTTTCACTTCAAATATTTTACCTCGACTCTCATCTCTTAAAGTGAATCTTTTGCTCACTGTCATGACCAGATCAAGCACTCTGAATGGTCAGTATTATTTGTCAGAATTCACCATCCATGCGACAATGCAGGGGAATACAGGGTTCTAACTGTGCTCAGCAATCTCTCAACAGTGGTTCTAACATTCATAATAATATCTGTGTCACAAACTTAAGTATTTGATCTCTAAACTACTTACATTTTAAAAAAAAAATGTATTTCATAACAGGTAGCTATACAAAATGCACAAATAAAACGATAAGTGTCAACTAAATAAGCTTTCTTTAAAGAACTGTACAAATTTAAACATTCTAAATTGTTATCACTATGTACATATTTGTTTAAAGCACTCATACAAACTTACTTGAACTATTGATGATCTTGCATCTGCTTTGTTGGTCTCAGTATATGTTCCTTTTTTGCAAGACCAAGAATTTTCATAAGCTTCTTGAAAACATTCATCAAAATCTAAATTGTCTAAATTATCTATTTCCTCATCTAAATTACATTTTGAAATTGAAGCCCCTGGATTGTCTATAGAATTCTCAGATTTATAAAGTGGCTCAGATTTTTCCTCCTCTAGCTCTCTTGTGTGTTCAGACAAGAATCTCATTGAGTTACCTTGTGACTCCCCACTTGTATCTTCAGTCTTTATTACTGTTTTTTTAATAGCAACCTGGAATGCTGACAAGCATTTTGTACACTTTTGTAAAAGTTTTATTGCTGTGCCATCAACATCAATATTTTCATCCCTTGATTCCGCTAGAGCGATGGATTCTTCCACTTGTAGCTTTATAGCCTTTAGTGTTTTGAGAAGCATGGTGATCTCAATTGAGGGAGAGCATAATAGTAGTTTGATTTTAAATTCTGTAAAGAAAAAAAAAGATAGCAGGCCTACAAATTTACATTCTGCACTAAAAGGAATAATGATTTTAAGTGACATAAATAATTATAATTTATTTTGTGTAAATATTTTGAATCCCATATGATTTCTTAAAAGTTAGTGAAAATATAAATTAAGTGACTGTTGAAGTAACATTTACTACGAATACAATTATATATTATTTTAATAGATCTTGTTCCTACTTTTATCAAAAGAAATTAGGTTTTCATAAGTAACATTAGGCCACACAAAAAATAATTTTCTTTTACTTTAAGTTTTAATTTTAAGTGAAGCATTTTAATTGAGGTACAAGTAAATTATAAACAAGTATGCACTACATTCAGTGGTTATGTTAAAATTAAAAGTAAGAAGGCTAAATAAAAAAGTGCAATGGGGGAATGTTCTGTTGAGTGCTTTTTAAATTAATTTTTTACTCATTTGCCTCCTCGTCGTACCTGTACCATTTGAATCAGTATTATCGGTGGTGGTAGTATCTTCACAACTCTGATGCAGTCTCAGCTCCGTTGGATGGGACACGTAGCCCGTATGGCAGACCACCGCCTCCCGAAACAAATATTCTTTGGAGAATTCACGATAGGCAAGCGCTCCCAAGGAGGCCAAAGAAAGCGTTACAAAGACTCACTGAAAGTGGCACTAAAGGCCTTCAGCATAAACCCTATTCAATGGGTGCAGACAGCCCAGGACAGAGCCAGATGGAGAGCTGCTGTGAAGAAGGGGGCTAAATCCCATGAAGCTAAGAGAATAACCACAGCTGACACACGCAGGCTTGTTCGAAAGAGCAACATTAGGTCATCGTCTGAAGCAACTATTCCATGCCCACGGTGTCATAGATTATTCCGAACAAGGATCGGTCTAACAAGCCACCTAAGAGCTCACCGTAATCCCAACCCCCCCCCCCCCCCCCCCCCCCCCCCCCCCCCCGCCCCTAACCGGATGATTCGATGGTCCTTGTCGACTTCGACGGACGAACAACAACCAACAACCAGTTTGGCTTAGTTAGTTACATCTGTTATTACTTAAACAAAGCAGCACTAGCATAGTTGGATTAACTTTTTGGAGGCCTGGTGCCAACGAGACAACAAAAATAAAACCAACTGTTAAACATTCAAATGAATTAAGCCATATAAAGATATATTTAAAAAAAAAGGAAACAAATTAACACTGTGAAAAGATAATAAAGTTGCATTTGAATTGTTTGCTAATTCAACTGCTTTAATATTTTCATCAATGTTAAAATTCTTTCAGGTGCACTTTCAATGGAGAGAAGCAATAAATAAGACTTGTCAAGATTTCCAACTGGATTAAAATTTTCCAATTCATTCTGGTCAGTTGACCAAGTCTGATTTCATCCTCTTAAAAGACTGAACAAACTTTCTCCATTGAAATTTCTATAGGCAATGTTAAGTAAATTTGCATGGCACTACAAACAAATTGAGAGCCACTGTTAAGTACAGTATTCAGATTTTAAAAGTTTAATGTTGTTTTAAAATGGCTAGCTATTAAAAATTACATAAAAATGGAACATTAACACTGAGTAAACATAATAAAGCAAAAGAAATAACAGAGCTAGTGCTAATTACAAGTAATAAATTAATTATACTAACAATTCTGAACACTGCCATGACCGGTTTCAAAAGAAGGAAGGTTGGCCTGAGGTCAGCTACATCCCCCATAAAAACAATTGCTACAGAAATGCCAACAAGAATAAAAAAAAAACAAAAAATTTCAGCCCTGAGAAGAGAGGGCTCTTTTTCCCCAAGAAAAGTTATGAAGCCTTGCGACCAAACTCAGGTTACACTAGAAGCCTCAAAGCCGAGGAACCTCTTTTCAAAGGAAACAA